CTGCAGAGCAGACCCCCCCCCCTGCAACCCAGCTCCCCCCCCGTCGTCGTCGTCGTCGTCGTCGTCGTCGTCGTCGTCGTCGTCGTCGTCGTCGTCGTCGTCGTCGTCGTCGTCGTCGTCGTCGTCGTCGTCGTCGTCGTCGTCGTCGTCGTCGTCGTCGTCGTCGTCGTCGTCGTCGTCGTCGTCGTCGTCGTCGTCGCTCGCGTCATCGTCGTCGTCGTCGTCGTCGCTCGCGTCGCCGTCGTCGTCGTCGTCGTCGTCGTCGTCGTCGTATTCGTTTTCGTCGTCGTTTTCGTCTTCCTCGTCGTCGTTCGTTTCCACGGGCACCCGGAGCGCCCCGGATCGGCGGCGCTGGCCGGAGGCCACTACAATACACACTTTTATGACAGCATGAACAAGTCTAAATGCACATACCTGTAAACGCACACATCTGTACACACATGCGTTTGTACATGTATACGTGTGCTTAGTTGTACAGGCCTGTATGCGTGTGCAGGCGCAACCGTTTCTACGTGTTCGTCACATGTATTCAACAGCCAACACTAGAATTAAGGTCCCCACTCTATGGCTTTGGGACGTATGATGGCGCCATGGTTTTTGATGGAAAATCATGCATGGGGTTCTGATGGGTTTCAAGTCTGGCCTCGCGAGGCCCCATGGACCCGTGCGAACTGGTAAAAACATGCCATGGAAAGGAAAGCGGAGGAGGGGGCGGAGGAAGGAGGGGGGCAGGGGAGGAGGTCTTCGGGCATTCGCCCGCCGCGAGCCCGCCACCCACGGCCGCCAAGACACCGTCACCGCGGAGCGAGCGCCCCCGGGAGACCCCCCACGAGTGCTTCAAGGGAGCCCAGGAAAGTCCCCACATAAAGCTTGCCGCGAAGAAACCGCCGCGCAAGGTCCCTCGGGGGCCATCTAGAGCACTCTGGGAAGCCTCGGGGGATGTAGACTGGAACCCTCGCTGGATCTCCTGGGGCCCCTCTGGGAACCAATGGGGGGGGGGGAGTTCCATCTGAAGGAGGCCCCCCTAAATCCGCCAACGGAATCTACAGCGAGCCCACTTCGCGGCGAGCTCTTTATGCAAGGCTCGCGGAACCATCTTAGGAACCCTACGCGCCCCCTGCCCCCCCTGGAGGCGATTGGGGGCAAGGGCCCAACAATGGCCCCGAACATGCTACCGAACAACTGCCCAAGAAGGCCCGCGCCCTCCCCGTTCAGGAACGCTCAAAGGGGGACAGGCGGAAGAGGCATGAGCTTGTAGACGGAATTGCCAGACACGCAAATTCACAATCATGAGAACCCGTATCCGTTGTCATTAGTTTCACAGCTCCTCAGACGTGCTCTCCCGAGCACAATCTCTCAACGAGAACGTATTCTCGAAATCATGCACAAACAATTCCATCGGCGAAATCGCCGACGGTCTGGAGCAACTCGTCGAAGCTCTTCTGCGCCGCCACGTGGAGGCCTCCGCGATCAGGCCTGGGGCAGCTCGTTGAAGCTCTTCTGCACAGCCGCGTGGAAGTCCTGGATTGAAGCCCCCGCCTCGGGGAGCAAGTCCACTAGCGACGTGGCCGCCGCTGTTTTGTCCGCCGTCGTCTGCTTCTCGTCGAAGAGGATCTGGATCGCACCTGCCTCGAGCCGCGCCTTGTGCGCCAAGAGCATCGCCTTCGTGGCATTGTCGATCGCGGCCTGGTGGAGCGGCAACAGGTCCTTCTTGTGCGACACGGCTGTGTCCGTCAGGTTCTTCTTGGCCTTCTCGATGTCTCCGATGGCCTTCAGCGCCTTCGCGACCAGGCCCTTCGCGGCGAAGATGGTTGACCTCGCCCTTCCCGCGCACGTCTTCGAGAGACGCGTCGTCCGAGAGGCCCTGCTTCCAACCGACCTCCTCGTCGCCGAAGAAGGCGAGCTTGGCCAAGTTGGCGCACTTGTTCTGCAACTCGATGTGGGCCTGCTCCACGTCCGCACCCCTGCATTGGTTGATTGCCTCTCCCATCTTCTGAATCGCGTAGTGCATGTTCGCTTCGAGGTCCATCTGCGGGATGACGCCATTCTCGTTCACGTCCATGTTGGTGCTGCTCGCGTTCACCCTGGCGTTGACGGTTAACATGGCCTTGACCAGGTGGTTGTAGAAGTTAGGGCCGTCGTCGTTCGTGACCTGCTGATCCGCACCGCCCATGCGCGTCAAGACCCCATGCGCATCCAGCGCCTCGTAGACATAATGCAAGAAGGCCAGACGTCCCTCCAAGGAATGGAAGCGCCGATCCTCCTCCGCGGGGCCCGCTAGCTCGCAGAGCTCTCGCGCGAACTCCACGTTTGCGCCAACATTGGTCATGTTAGCCGTCTTCATGGCATCATCCGAGTCGAGCTTGTACTTGAGGAAGTAGTGGTTGGCGATCGAGCCGATCGCTTTGAAGATGATGTCGCAGTGCTCCGCGGTAGAGAACTGCACCCTCTTGTTCGAGATAAGCGTCAATCTGATATCACCTGCAGCTTTGCCCTTGTCTGGATTGCCATCGAAGTCCTGCAGCACCTTCAGGAAGGAGTTGCATGCCGCTGTCTGGGATGCCGTCTCTGCCATCTCTCGGATGGTATCAGCCACCGCCGCCAGGTCATCCTCGAAGAGATCGCGCACCTTCTTCGGGGAAGCATTGTCGGTGAAGAGCTGCTCGAGGCGAGTAAGCTGCGCTTTAGTCCCCAGAAGCTCTCTGGCCAACGACTCGCGCTCAGTACCAGTGGCCTTCGAGCATTTGTCTGCGATGGCCGTCGCTGCGTCGATGACGGCCTTCACGATGGGGATTGTGGCGCCACTCCTGCATGCCACGAACCAGCGGTGGAGGTCAGAGATGGTGGCCTCGATCATCGAGGAAGTCTGGTGTTGCCCGATCGCGGCCAACCGCTCCTTCATGAGAGGTGCTTCCTTCATGTCCGCCTGTGCTGCGCGCCTCCACTGGTTCTTGTTCGTCAACCAAAACTCCTCATCGTCCATTTCGCAGCTGAAGGACGCCCACTCTCTGTCAAATTCGCCACTAAGCATCTTCCGAAAGTTCGTCAAGTCAACTCCGATGTTGGCCACTGTCTCCAAGGAGCGGTCCCCGAGTGTGTCCAGTATAGTCGCGCACAGCAGGGCTGCCTCGTGGAAGTCGACCATGCCATGGTGGACGCCTCCAGAAGCACAGATCCTCGCATTGACCAAGATCTTCCGCAGCTCCTTGATCTGTGTCATCGCACGTTCGCCCTTCTTGACCATCGGCAGGATAAGGTAGTTGAGGAAGTCGTCCCTCGCCTGGCTCAAGATGTCGGCAACGGGCGCCTCCACGCACGCTAGTCTTGGGGCGAACGGGTCGAACGCCAGGTTCTCCGATGAGTCGATGTAGAGGTTGATATTTTCCCAGAGGGTCTCCGCGTCGTCGTCGCGCTGGAGGCCAGCCCTCAGCCATGCCAAGCACCGCTTCGGGCAGTCCTTGAAATCGATGCCGCCCTTGACCAGCGCGCGGAGGTGCCTCGAGCTCACCTGCGGGTCCTTGATGTTGTGGAGGTTCGAGACACTGAGCTCGGTAGCCTTCTCGATGAGATCCAACAACTCCTGCTTCCGATTCTGCGCGTCGATAATAGTCGGCTTGAAGCGACGAAGAGCGTACTCCCTATCGCCGAGCTTGAGGCCGTCCAGCAAGTGCTCGAGGTTGACCTGCGCCTCCAACTGCCTGATCCTCTGCATGTCGCCCCCGCCAGCTGGGGAGCGCACGCTGCCGCCCCTGCTGCTGGCAACGCAAACACCTGGGCGAGGCGTCGGCGGAGCTGCCGCTCCTGCCGTGCGATGCTGAGTCTGCCTTGACGCCAAGCTCCGCACTGAGCCTCTCGATCGGGATCGCGTGCCGTGGCCGGCGGAGGGGCGCGCCGCCCCGATCTGCACGCTGGGCGTCGGCGACGCAGCGCGTGCCGATCCTGGCGGGGCCGATGCTGCCACGGCGGCGCCGTCGCGGCTCGACAAGGCCGCGCTCCGTCGAGAGGCTGGCGGGGAACAAGCTGGGACATCGGCTCGTGGACCCTCGGCAGGAGCACTCTCTTCGACTAAGGTCGCAGCTGCGGCCCCACCGCCAGGCGACTCGCTTGGGCCGTGACTGCCTTCGGGAGGCGGTGTACTCTTCCCCGCGGCAGCACCAGCGTTCGTCTTCAGCGCAGCTTCGAACCTGATGGAGTCGAGTGTCGGGGCCAGGTTCCTGCCGCGGACCACGGTGGGCATCGCAGCTTTCAAGTTGGAGACCTCAGACTTGAAGACCTTCTTCGCCTGCCCCTTGTAAGCATGGCGCTGCGCACTCCACCCTGCTAATGTCCACGTGAGGCTTGTCGGGGTTCGCTGTGATGGTCCCGCAGCAGCTGGCGCCACTGGGCATCTTCATGGTGCTGGCGGCCAGGGACAAGTCCTTCATGTCGAGGTCGGCTGGCACCCCAGCGGCTTCACGAAGATCGGCGTCCTTGTGCATCCTGAAGTGCGTCTCCATCTTGAAACCGCATCGCGAGACAACATCAACGGTCTCCTCGTCGAAGTTCTTGTTGCGCGCATCCTCTGCTGACGCCGCGGTCGCCTCGAATGAAGCATCTATCGAGCTGTCGTCCTTCATCGCTCTGCAGAACTTCACCCAGTCGGGGTGCCTCTCTGACCACGCCCAAGCCCATGGGTAGTAGCACCTCGCGCAGGCCGAGACGGCGAAGTCGGGGCACGGCTTCTCGGGGGTGGAGACTTCGCCACATGGGACCCTGCCGCACGTGCGAACGGCGGCCGACGATCCTCCACCGCGCGTTCCTGCAGAACAAACCCGAGGAGCTCTCTTCGGCGCTCTCTTGGCGCGCTTGGTCTCGACTTGGTCGGGCTGCTCACTCTTGTCACTGCCATTCTCTCTATCATCATCTGGGTTCTCTGCTGTGTCAGGCACGCCGGTCGGCGGTTGAGCCTTCGCCGAGGCCCTGCCACGCTTGTCGCAACCTCGACCGCCCCTGGAGGCCAT